CACGTTGTCAGATAAAAACAGTTGTTATGCTGGATAAGTATATAAGTAAGTGTATAAGTATATATATAATACCAAAAAAAGATTATTAAATATAAAAGCAGGCACTATTTACACAAAAGCAACAAATTTTGCTGAAGTATATCAAAGTATAGCTAGCTACGAATCCGAAAATAGTTGTTGGACATTCAAATTAGTTGCTAAAATGTCAAAACTTTTTTTGAGGCATTTCTTATTATGCTTGAATTTCCTACATAATTATTTTGATAGTCTAATAAAATTATTTTCAGATCTATATCTATCGAAATTTTTAGATACTTCAGCAAAATCATTCTTTTTGTATAGCTGTAATAGGAAAAACAATTCATATCACAATAGATTGAAAAATAGGAAGCAGGTCGCCTCTTATCTTGAAAGAGATATTGACGTGCCTGCACGATAAAGTTATTAATAAAAATTTATTTGCTCTAAAGAAAAAAGTCGTATCAGCAACTAGAAATCTGAGGACAAATAGTCCTCAGTTATGAATCTATTATCAAGTTGTAATAAGAACAATAAATAAAATTAAATTAATAAAATATAGTAATATTAACCATTTACTAGAAATGATTAATATAAATAATATTACTATATTTTCTTAATTCATTTAATTAATTTATTCTTATAAAAACTTAATAATATGTATAGTTGTAGCGCTATTTCTAAAATTTTTATATGTATATATAATTATTCCAGAAATTTTAAGGTTACTAAATTTTGTATATTATAAAACTAAAAATTGTACTGTCGAAATGCATCTCTCATTTACTTTCGTCTTCGTTCTTTGAACCCAATACATTGAAGAAACCATTTCATTAATTGAAATATCAGAAAATCTCAGAATGTTGCACCTTTATTATCTATATGTTGAATGACTTTCTTCTTATATCTCTTTCTTATAATTAGGAGAAATTGAACTCCACTGCTTCTTCTAGTGGAAGTGCCATGGATAAACGATGTTAGTGAAGAAATTTTGAATATATTTTTAAAAAATAATATCAACAATGATTAATTAATTATGACATTATGTTTCATTTCAAAAAAATATTTGTCTAAATTAGGAAAATGTATAATATTGCATTATATCTTTATATATACATATATGTATAAAGTCCTTGTATTTCATCTCATTTTTATCGATAAATGCGCATTCATTGAAATGTGTGAGTACAGATTATGCAATTATGTAATGTAGTTGAATCACTATTTCTCTATCAATTAACTCTTTAAACTCTTTACAGTAGAATCTAATTCTAAAGAATGACAAAGAGTGATAATTGAGTTAGTATTGAAAAAAAGACTCAATTGTTAATTTTTAATAGTGAGATTTCACTCTTTAGAATTAGATTTTACTTTAAAAATATTTTAGAGAAAATATTTTATAAATATTGCTGCGATTATATTTTTATAGTATTCGGTACTATTTTAATATTTATTATTTCGTAAAACTAGTTGCAGATACTTGAATTTCAAAGTTATCAATTTATATAGTTGCCAGAACTTATTTCGTTTTTTCTCTGTGCTAAATCGGCTGGCAGAACATCCTGCACGTGTAATAACGTGTCTCCTTGTTTCGCAATTGTGATCGGAAATGATGGAAAGCATGCAAGTTTCTACATGGTTGGGGGGATAGAAAACAGAGAATGGAACGAATTCTCGTCCCGGATGAATTAAGGATCTACCCCTAAGTATGCCTCTGCTTTTCTTTTTGTCTGCCGTTTCGCGCTCAGTCCTGTTCCTCCTCTTTCCATCTCTCTATGGCCATCAGTCCTTATCGCGGTAGCGTCAATCATTCTCTCCATACACGGTGAAACTTATCGTTCGATTAATCGGCCTGACAATGCGCCTGTCGATTCGAGTTACCCTCGGATTCGCGCGCGTGCGGTCAGTCCCCGAAAATGCAGCGCTCGTCCGACAACGATTTACGGCCGGAAAAGTTTTATAGTTCCCAATTATACGAAGGATCCTCTCACGTGAAATTGTTAGTGAGTGAAAGCGTAAACTATTATTATTATTAGAATTTTATATTGCTTAAAATACGAAATATTAGAAGAAATCTCTGTTATCGAATATAAATAACATATATATTGTATTTCATAATTATTGGCCGACAAATTTTGATCAAGTAACGCTAATCAGAATAGATGCTTTTTACAGTTTTTGATGCGCTGCAGAATATAAATCCATAAATAAAAATGTTTTATCACATTTTTGAGAAAACTGGAGTTAAAATCTTCCAGAAATACGTTCTTTACATCTTCGAAAATTATCCGATATGCTATAGAGACTTTGAAAGGTATGATAGCTCAAATTAAAGTTTGAATATTGTACTTTAAAATAAAAATATTAAATCTTTCATTACAAGCACTATTATGGAACTTCTAGCGCTTTCTTTTAGGAGTAACCGTCATATAATTGTATTTAGGCTTACAGCAAACTATTGCACATAAAAAGTTTTTTTATTTGATAAAACATAAGTGTCGAACAAGTGTCTCGTTTTATCTTTGTTATTCACTAAATGTCAAGAAAGATAGAATAATGCTTGTGTTAACTTGTGCCATCAAATGAAAGCAGATAAAAAAAGTCAATGTGAAAGCACACATAATGAAAAAGCACGTAAGATTTAAATTAAACCTTATGATGTTAAATCCATATTTTTTATAGTGTTTTAATCGAAGGAAGAATTATTTAGTTTAAACGAAACAAATATATCATACTCTGGTATAATATTCATTATTTCATTCGCTTATATTATTTCATAGTAATACAAGATTGTGTTATTTATAAAAATTCTCAATGGATCTCTCTGAAAGTTTACGATTTATCACGTACATCCCTTTTTTGTATAATAAAATGGAGAATGAAACACTATCTGAAAATGCATCTACGAAAATGGTTACGCTATTCGTATGGAGAAAAGTATAAAATGGCTGCAATAGTAAAAGTTACGATCAAAAGTGGCAACGAATGTCATATGTTCAACTTGTCATATAAATCTACATGCAAGTAGAACAAGTGTTGTCGGACTCGGTGTTTGTTTGCAGTTTCGATGTGTAGGCAGCTGTAAGTTCGGCGCCAAAATGTCTGGACCATAACGTTTCCATTGTATGGGCTATCGACGTTTGTACTATCCCAAATGTACACTGAGAGAAAAGTGTTTAGTAATTTGTGACTATAATTGCATGGTATAGTTATGGTTAGAAGCAATTTATAGTTATTACTGCTATAATATTAGTAATAATAATTATATTTATAATTCTACCAAAAAATATAGTCGGCGCCTAAAATGGTTATAAACTATAATTAAATTATAATAATTATTTTTTTACTCAGCGTACATATCGCGTATAAAATTTAAATATTCTAAATTCCATGAATAAAAAATTCCACTTATGCATTACATAAAGCTCAATCGTGTAATAAAATTTTCATTTCGATGGATCATCGCGATATTTCGAAATTTAGACGAGGTTTTTTCGAATTTTATTTGATATGTGTATTCGGGAAAGAATTGCGTTAGTAGAAATCTCCAAACTTTCGCTAGAAAGTCGAGAAAATAGGGAGAAAAGCAATTTCATCAAGGTCTGCAGAAGATTTTAATTTTGGATGATAATAAAATGAGAAGGACCGTTCGTATCTTGCTTTAAACCTCCTATCGTGCTCAGGGCATTACATTGCGGAATTATCGAAGACGATCCGAACGAGACGGATTCAGCAATAAACGAAGGTTGATCCCTTCGAGCGTAGCTACAAATACAACAACCGCCGATTCGAGTTTGGACCGGTGGACAGATGTGCAGATTGCATGAACCGCAGAATGGAGATTAAAGATAATGCGGGGAGATACGAGCGAATTGGTCAACGGAGACTATCGACCTTTTAACGCCATTTGCGACGGGCCATTTACCCATATTCTTATTAGCGAACGACTGCAGCAATGTTCTCAGCAACATTATATGAAAAAGTATCTTCTCATCTTCCATGAGCTCTGAAAACACTCGGGATTTCGCTGAGCCACAAAGCGAAATTGTATGGAAAGAACGATTTTGCTGAAGTATCTAAAATATCTAAAAATTCAGCTAGATACAGAAAGTAATTATATTGGACATTCAATTAGCTATTTGCTAGAATGTCAAAACTTTTTACAGCATCATGTTTGAGAGCATCCCACATAACTACATATTTTGATAATCCAAGTCTCCTCAGATCCTCCTAATTTTTAAATAAAGTATGTACAAGGAGTTTTAAAGAAAGTATGTTCAAAATTATTCTTTTTGTGTAAGACATAAGATGCTTTCCATTTAATGACATGAATTAATACAAACATTTTATCTTTCTTTACATTTAGAGAGAAACAATAAAGATAGAAAGACACTGTCGATGTATGTCGATTTATGTCATCAAATGGAAAGCACCCTAAATATATTAAGTTAATATTAAGTGATTTTAACGGAATTTTATTATTATAAAGCTTCGAGCTTTAAACGAACCGAAACGTGCATTCGCATGTATTCACACGTCCTCAATTGCTTACGCGTATACGGAGAGAAATGCATCTTCGCTCTTCTCCCTTCTTTTCTCCCTCCGATCTCGAAATGCCTATTCAAATTTTACGGGTCATATTTGTCGCAATTAAGTGTTATATTTTCGGGCTTATGGCCCAGAAATATTCCATATTGAGCACGAGACGAGCTTCCTCGTCTGGTATAAAAACAAATTTCAGGGGCCTGTGAGGAGAGAAAGGAAAGAGAACCGAGGATTATACGAATGAGATAGAGGGAGAAGAAGAGTGAGTGAGTTTATGGCACTTGCGGGAGTATAACAGGCACTTTCACGATTCGTCTGACTCACATCGAAGAAGCGAGAAGAAGAGGGATGGAGCTCCACTTTTACGAGGTTCTTCGAACGAGAAAGTGAGCTGTGAATACGATTTGCGAGCCGGAAGCGGCCTCTTCGCTACTTACCGCTCAAAGTTCCTTACGCCTTTGCTGCTCTTCCTCTCCTCAGGTTTTCTCGTGTGCGTGCAATCCAAAAATCCGCGTTCGCTCGTTCTTGTTATTCAGTCATGCGCGTATCTGGAAATTATTGAAGGTTTTCTTATATATTGTCCTTGATCCTCTAGAGGACCAGAAACCCCGCTATATTGGCTTTTGACAATTTAAGTAATTTTATTAGATTTTATTAGATTTTTGTTCTTTATACATCGAAATTTCCTGTCTGTAATGAAAGAGAAAAGGAAGAGGGAGAGAAAATTAGCTTTGGGCCTCGCTACAGACGATTTTCAGCAGTCGCACCGTACACAATGGACACGAACTTTCTATGCTGTTTGTCTGTTTGGTGTAAATAATAAATATTGTTATATCACGAAAGCATAATTCATTGTAATATAACATTTACAATGCAACATTTAACACCAAAATTTGTCATACATAAGTAAGTAAACGAATGCGTATCTCTTACAATTGTTGCGCCGTGTTTTGAATGATGCCACATGGTGTACATTACGTTTTTCTTCTTGTCGACGACGAAAAAGATAAGTTTCTTTTATTTCTTTCACTGCTTATTTTGTATTCATGTACTCTTATACATTTATTACAAAGTAAATTGATGTAACTTCATATGGCTTTTTATTACTTCACTACATTCCAAATTTCAGTATAATAATGCTTTTATAAATTTTTATAAATTTTTTTACTGCAAATACTATTAATATAATTATTCTTAAAACAAATAACAATATAAAGCTCCAATACGGAAAAATTTTTTTTTACCGTTCTTGTGGACCAAAAGCTAATATATTCTGAAGTAGCGTCATTTTTTACGTAAATCGATGCAATTACATAGTCAACAAAGTTCTAAATTTAAAACTGTAAAAGTCGTCCAAAAACTTGTCAGTTTTCAGCAGTTAAAAAACATCTTATATATAAAAAAATTATATCAATTAAAACGTTGAATATTTATTTTAAATAATAATATAAGAAATTTAATTACATTGAGAAAAAATCGCTTAAATTTAAATAAATATTTATTTGAATACTGCCAACTAAACATTTACTTACAATAAATAAATGTTTACTTAATAAAAAGAAGTGATTGTTAAATCAAATTAATATTTTTTTGTTACCAAAAAAATATTTTTTTATATTATAATAAATATTTAGTTAATATTATTCAAATAAATATTTATTGAAATTTAAGAAATTTTTTTTCTTAGTGTATGTAAAATAGAGAAAACGCGGTGTGGACACGGGGTAAACGCGGACGATATTGAAGTGTATTAAAGTTGATAACTTGTCATTTCTTATATCCAGTGATAAATAATCCGATGCCTATATACTTAGTGCCTTACTACACATGATTATATGCCCACATGCTATTTAAGATAAATGCTATTACACATTTTCGATGATTTTGATAGGGATGAATGAGGTAATCGCGTATATCTAAATGAAAAATTAAATGGAGCCGATGATTGTTTTATCATTTATAAAAGTCTTTATTCAAAAGATATTGACTTTATTATTGTATTTTAAAAATAAATAACTAAAGTATAATATCTTTTGACTAAAGAAGACTCATTACTTGATAAATAATTTACAGTTTTATTTAACTTTTCTTTTACAATTAGATATTCGCAATTCCTTCATTTTCAGCTAATAGTACATTATATATATATATATGTATATAATTATAATATATTAATCGTATTTATTATAATTGTAATATATTAAAAACAAGTTAAAGGCAAAAGGAGCCAAAAATTTGATTTATAAAAATTAGTAGATAAGTAAAAGTCTTAATAAATTAATTATGAAATTTAATAATATGCCAACAACAACAAACGTTTCGATTATGATCGGATCATTATCAATGTTTATAAAATATGTCTGATCGGTAAAAAACATAACATAAAGTCAATCGAGGATTAAACATGTACTTCGCATTGAATAATTATATAATTGTTGGAATCAATAAAATTAAGGTCTTCATCTTGTTAGTTGAACAGAATAGTAACGCACATAAAATACATACATTAGAATTCGTCAGAGAAGTAAAAACTTATACTGTGTACGGTCGATGGCAAATGAAAATACACTTCGCAATGTCGCAAGACATCAAATTGTTGGTATCAATACATTAATATTATACTCAATATTGTATTTATAATTTTCTTTTATTTAACACACATGCAACACATACACATAAAAATTACGAATACCAAATATAGAACCAAATATAAAATCAAAATTACAATGCAGTTCTTTAACAATTAGTCATCTACATTCTATTCTTTGCTTTTGAGTCTTCAATAAAAACTTATTCTGGCAAAGTTCGTGCAAAACAAAGCCTCAGTAACCCTATCCACGCGACATCAATATGGAACGTGCCCGGCACGTGTCATCGCGAAGCAAGAGAAGAGAGATAAAAGTTTCCGGAAACGGTTGCACCGCGATGGCAGAAGAATTCTCAACGATTCTTTCTCTCCGAAAGACGACGATAGACAACAGTGAAGAGGGAGGATGGCGCCTCGAAGATTTTCGCAAATTTCGGGCGCGTCGTTGGCAAAAAGATAAAGAAAGACGGTTGCTGTTAACGAAGATGGAGGAAGCAAGAGATGTTGATAGAGAAACGAATATGGAAAAGCAGAGAGATGGAGCGATACACGGAGATAGAGAAAGAAGAGGAGAAGAGGGAGAGGAAGAGAGAGAGAGAGGGGGGGGGAGACAGGGAACAGGAGAGAGAGAGAGAGAGAGAGAGGGGGGGAGAGGGAGAGACAGAAAGTTAGTAAGGGGATGAGTGCTGGCGGCGTTATGGCGGGCGCCGAGGGTGGCGCCGCGACGCTTTGGCGCCTTCGATGCCGAGACGCTCCACTGATGCTGGCTGCATGTACCCACGCACACATCCATGTACCCTCTCGTTCCAACTTCTCCTCCCTCTCTCCCTCCTCTTCTTCATCTCACCCTTTCTACAACGTTACTCTCTCTCCCCCGACCTGTACACACAGTACACGCGCAATGAGAGTTCGAGATTCTATTTCTCACATGCATACAGGCCGCTCCGGTCTCTCGTCACTAGCGTAGCGCTACCCCTAACCGTCATGCTTATACATTCTATTATGAAAGGGGGCAAATAGGTAGAATGGGGAGGCAAAGCGCGGAAGGGATGTTTAGGTGTGCATCAGAAGCGGAACTGGAATCCGTTCTTGACTTCGGGATGCGGAAAGGCGAGGTCACTCGTCTCTGGCGACGATTCTGAGGGTGTGGCATGCGTCAAGTGGGCCCGAGCATCTATCTGGGCCGTACTCGTCAATGAAATATATATACGTCCCGCGCGGACGAAGCAGACAAGATGGATCGTTGTTGACATCTTAAGCACTTTGAACAACGCTTTCAGTTGCGTCTTTAATTAAAAGGTCCCGTATGAAGATAAATCGACGTGCGATCTTTTACACTTGTTTAGAAATCCTCTGAACATCGACCAAAAAATCGCATTCTTTTTAAAGAGAGATAGTGCATTAAGAAAAATAAAGCGTATAAAATACTTCTTCATTGATTCACTGATTGATTAATGATAAATAATTTTCTTAATGAATAAATTGCTTCGACATTCATCTGCTAAATTCGCTCCACGTATCAGTACTTTGTTTAATTTCAACAATGTGATATTCGTTAAAGTGTTTCCTTTAAAAAGCAAAATCTATATTGAAAGAAAAATTTTTGGTATTGTGCCTGACAAAATATTGTGAGAGAGGAAATCCATTTTTATTTACTGCTATAATATTAGATAATAATTATTTTCATAGTTTTATATATACTAAAAAAAAATATCTAATTATCCTTATTCCCGAAAAGGACTATAAAATTATAATTACATATTATCTTTTATATTTTTATAATTACATATACAATCTTTTTAATGTATATAAAATAGATAGAATTATATATAAATGTTTAATATATAAATAATTATTATTACTAATATTATAGCAGTAATAACTAAAAATAAAATTCCTAATCATAATTATTTTACATGCAATAATTACAGTCATAAATACCAAAAACTTTTTTCAATATACTTTTTTGTCGTATTTCTATAATCCCGACATGAATGATCTAAGCGCGGGACTAAACGATTCGTTTCCCTTCTGGCTTCACGCTTGTATAATGCGACAAAACTGCGAAACAGCCAACGATCTGTCAATAACCATGACATAGCGTCCTCCAGCCAACCGCGTATAGGCAGTACCCTATAATTTCGCAGCAGCGCGGCGGAACCGCCGCGGCGATAATGCCGCTCGATTGCGGCCGCATACCCGGGATTAGGCGACGTTGATTGCATTTACGGGCGTGGAGGCGGACACCGAGAGACCGACGCGACGACTGCTGCTAATTAATCAAGCCGCATCGAACGAATTTTCTTTGCTGCAGATTATCAAATTCGAGGCGCGAACACGCGATTTGTTCTCGCTGCATCGAACTGCACTCCGAAATTCTAGAGTCCTAGATATAACAGAGAAGCGCAACCGAGCATATTTAAAGGTTATAATTAATCGTCCAAAGAAAAAATGGCGACCTGTGTTTATATCTGTCATTCCGCAAACGAAGTGCGATTCCTACAACAGTAATGTTTCTACAAAGAAATACTCTCTCTTTGGAGATATACATATCAAGATTTAAAAATAATGATATTTACTAAAATTAAAGTTCTAAAAAACTAATAAAATAAAAAAACTAAGACTATCTGTAGAAAAAA